ATACTTCAACTGGTATTTCACCATAACAGAAAAGAACTTCTTTAAAACTGGAAATTCAATTGCAAGGCTCCAAAAAATTGACTGTTTGATAGACAAACAATATATAACAAATTAAATTTTATAATAGGAGCTTTTCATGTCTCAGAGCAGCCAAACACCACCAGGTTCTTAAAAACAAATTAAATTATCAATGCCGATATAACCAGGAATTGCATTATAGAAGCTTGGTATGAGATGGAATGCGAAAGAAAAATTTCCAGAAGAAAGGTATCATATAATCAAATGAACAAATAATGAACTTACATCTGAAAACCTATCATTCAAAGCAGCATCAAATTTATAATATAGCTCAAGAAGACTGGAAGAGAAGAGAAATTCTTCAATATGATTCAGGGCATATATGAAAAGCCAAGAGCCAACATTACACTTAACGGAAAAAGATTGAGAGCTTTCTCCTAGAAATTGGGAATAACACAAGGGTGTCCACTCTCACTACTTCTATTAAATATTGTATTATTCTCACTACTTCTATTAAATATTGTATTATAAGTCCTAGCCAGAGCAATAAGACAAGAAATAGAAGGTATCCAGATTGAAAAAGAAGAAATAAAATTACCTCTACTAATGGATGGCATGATCCTATATACAGAAAAGCCCAAAGAGTCCACAAGAAAACTTCTACCGCTAATAGAGGAATTTAGCAAACTTGCAGGGTACAAGGTCAACGAACAAAAATTAGTTGGGTTTCTATACATCAGCAATAAGAAATCTGAAAGGGAAATTAGGAAAACAATTCCATTTACAATAGCATCTAAGAGAATAAAATACCTATACGTGAAGGACTTACACAATAAAAATTATAATACACTGCTGAAAGAGATTAAAGAAGACTTAAATAAACGGAAAGATGTTCCATTTCATGGACTGGCAGACTTAATGTCATTAAGATGTCAATACTACTCAAAGCAATCACAGATTCAACGTAATCCCAATCAAAATTCCAACCGCCTTCTTTACAGAAGTGGAAAAACCAATCCTCCACTTTCTATGGAAAGACAACAGGCCCCAAATAGCTAAAGCAATGTTGAAAAGAAGAACAAAGAGGGAAGACTCACACTTCCTGATTTTAAAACATATTATACAGCTACAGTAATCAAAACTGTCTGGTAATGTTATAGTAACAAACACATAGACCAATGGAATGGAATTGAAAATCCAGAAATAAACCCACACGTTTATGGTCAACTGATTTTTGACAAGGGTGCTAAGTCCATTTGATGGGGAAAGAAAAGTTTCTGTAATAAATGGTGTTGGGAAAACTGGATTTCCACATGCAGAAAAATAAAACAGAATCCATGCTCACACCATACATTAAAAAAAAAATTCAAAACTGATTAAAGACCTAAATGTGAAAACTAAAAACAAAATTCTAAGAAGAAAATACAGGGGCAAGGCTCTCAGGCCTATCTTTTAGCAACTGATTATCTAGTATACTAACAAAAGCACAAATAGCAAAAGACAAAATAAATGGGACCTCATAACAACTAAAAACTTTTTTCATCAAAAGACCTTACCAAACAAGTTAAAAGACAAACTACTGACTGGAACAAGAATATCTTTGGAAACCATATATCTGATAAGAATCTAATAACCAAAATATATATAAAACTTCAACAACTTAACAACAAAAAGACAAATAACCCAATCATAAAATGGACAAAGGACTTGAATAGGCATTTCACCTAAGAGGACATTCAAATGGCCATCAAACACATGAAAAGATGCTCAACGGCATTAGTCATCAGGGAGATGCCAATCAAAACCACAAGGGGATGCCATTTCATTCCTACTAGACTGGCTAAGATTAAAAAAAAAAGAAAGAAAATAACAATTGTTGGTGAGAATGTGAGGAAACTGCAACCCTTATCCGTAGAAAACTTAGGAGGCAGTCAGTTTATGTTAATATGGAGAAACAACCTGAAAAAGGAGGGTGAGAATAGTGCACACCTCAAAGAATGTAATCAACATTACTGAATTGTACAAGTAGAAAGTTGTTGAATCTGTTATGTTCTGCTGTGTATATTCTCAACAACAACAAAATAAAATAAAGATCTAAAAAAATGTAAAGACCATTTTTAGCTCACAGGCCATACAGAAAAAAGGTAGTGGGTCAGACTGGACCACCCGTGAGGGGTAATTTTCCAACCCCTGCCCTAAATATATATTCTTTTTGACACTTCTTTATTTGTTGACAATTAGGTAACTTCTACTTCATTACTGATATTAAGTAAGGACAATAACAGAGACTTTGCTTAAGGCCTTGTCTAAACTGCTGGTGTATAAATTTTAAGACAAAATTTTGAGAAATACTTGTGTCAAAATTAAACATACTGCTAGAGAAAAAAAAATTAATACAGCTATCAGAAAGTCCCCTAACTTAGTACTTCCTTCCAGCTGCCATCAGGTTGATTCTAACTCATGGTGACTCCATGTGTGTTAGAACAGAACTGCGCTCCATAGGGTTCTCAATGGCTGATTTTCAGACGCAGGTTGTCAGGTCTTTCTTCTGAGGTGCTTCTAGGTGGATTGGAATCTCTAACCTTTAGGTTAGCAGCCAAGTGAATTGTTTGCACCACTCAGGGACTCCAACTTGCTCCTTTAAAGAAGTACATCAAGTGGATCCCTACAGACTGCATTCATTACGACCATTTCACCTGAACATAGTATTAACATGGATGCTAATATCGATACATTTTTTTCTATTACAGTCATCAAAAAAACAAACAAACTGATGGCCTATTGGCTGCCTGGATGAATTCTTAGAAGAGTATAGTAGGCATATAGTGGTACTGAGAATATAACAGATTTGTATTTTTTAAAGTGTTACATTTTTCTAATGGAGGAGAGCACATTAACATCTAATAATCCAGAAAACTAGACCACAAGTAGCCATGAGCCAGTAATTCCTCAGGACTAATACTTAAATTCTAGTATACAAAAGAAGTTAGATTCACTGGCTTAAATCCTATTTCCTTTCCAGGATCACTTCATATTGACCTACTCTGAAATGTACTCGATGAAAACCAAACTTCCACTAAAAAGATCTTAAACGCCTACACAGCTTACTTCTGGATTACAAGACTCATCATGCATCCTAGCCCAAGCATATTCCATACAAGTGGACACATGGCAAGAAAAAAACCATTGATTAATACTTCTAAGCTTGTATGAAGAAGTAAAATTTGAAAGGTCAATATGGCCAAACACAGGAATTGATGGCTGTGGCTCATTTACAGGCTTAATGTGGCTTATACTCATCTTGATTTTAGCAATTTTAGTTCTTTTACTTAAAAAAAAAAAAAAAAAGCTATTCCAAAAGGAACCATGGAAGAAGTGACGCCATTAAGCACAGAGTCCATTCTTGCTTTGATCTTCATCACGTACATACACAAACTCAGCTTTTACCAGAAAAATTGACACCCAAAAAAAGTCCATTGTGTAAGCATCTACTGAAAATAAGAAGTTTCTATACTACAAGCTGAAAGAACACATAATTACTCTGAAGCTCTTACAATTATTATAAACAATCCTAACATAAGAGTCCTAACATAGAGTTCCATTTACTTTAAAGCTGTTTTCTCTTGTAGATGAAAAATGGCCTTCTCATCTCCCCAACAGTAAAACTGTTTATTTTAATAAGTGTTTCATGTCTATGATCTCTACAGAAATATCAGTAATTTATTATGCTGCTAAATGTATTCTACTTTGAGGTCTAAAAATCCCCTTCTTTGTGACCAGAGTTGATGCATACTTGAAGGGGTGATGTGCACGATGTTCTTTTAACAATGTAATGTGCTAGGTGAGTTATAATCTTTGGCCCTGATCTCACATTGAGGCTTTCACTCCATAAGCATCTGCTTGCAACTTATTTCCCAGACATGTTCTTCACCATTTAAACTGCAAGAGTCAAAATTTGGTTTTGAACAAATTAAGGATATATCCAAGTCTGTGTCTATGTTCTCAACATACAATTAACTACCAAATATTAATGATCAAGTATGTATACTGTCTGAAACCTCAGGCTAAAGAGATGTGGTCTCTGTTAACATTTTACAAGGAAGTTGAAGAATGTCTCTCAAGCCTATTGAGCAGACATCTTCCCACCGTCAACTTCAAGCCTGCTTTCAAATAATCATTTCCTTCCGCGTAGAAGTTAATGTTAAGTTACATTTAACAAATTCCTTGCATTCTCCTAACTCAAAGCTATATTTTCCCACCTCCATCAAGCAAAAATACTATCCCCCATTTACCTTCTATTATTTAAAAGAGGCAATTTATTAATGTTCATGACACTGCCACAATTAAGTTATGATTAAAAAAAAAAGCACTGCTGTCAAGTCGATTCTGATTCATAGAGACCCTACCCAGAAAACCCTACCTCTAAAAATTACACTATCAACATCTGTATAAAATCTTGCTTAAAACTTAAAATGCACCCCTCATTCATTTTTACAATGATTTCTCAGGGTCTTCAAAATGAAGACTATGGTCTTTTGTACAAACCGGCCTGCCCTTCACTGTGCTGCTGTCCGTTATTCTCTCTACAAATACCTTGCCTGGTCCATGCTAGGTATTTATAATCTACGCACGTCATTGAATGACCGCCCTTTCTCCGCTACATACACACCTATATCTAAAAGCACACGATTTTTCTTGCAGATTTTCTGCCTCCTCGATCTTGGGAAGGTGCTCACTCCACCCCTGAAACACTTTCCCACAAAGCTGGGGGAAGGCTGAGGATGCGCTTAATCCCCAGCTGTCAACTCAGAGGGCCGCGCGCATGCGCAGCGCCAGTGGCCCGGCCCCTACGCCGCAGATTGTTAGCGGAGCGGGTTCGGGGCCCGAGGTAGATCCTGGGGATAGTCGCGTGTTAGGAGCGGCCCGCGCGGGTTTGGGAGGGAGGCGCCCGGGAGGACGGTGTGGTGTGTGGGCCCACTCACAATTTCAGCATCCATTCGCCCTCCATCACCAGCGTCCAGTTGGAGGCGGTCATGGGCTGGACCAGGCTCCGCTCCGCCGGCGGCGCGGCCTGCTCAGGTTCGGCCGCCGCCACCACCACCGCTGCGAACAAGACGGCCAGGAGCACCGTCTGCAGCGGGCCGCAAGGCCCGCCCGCCATGTTGGCTCCTAGGCAGGGGGTGTGAGGAAAGGAAGCGGCGGGGCGGCCGCTTCGTCCGCGGCCCGCCTGCCAACGTCCAGGCCCGACCGCCAGGGCCTTCCAAGGAGGTCTGAGAAGAAAGCAGGCCGGTGCAACCTGCCTTCTCCCCGCTGCGCTCACGGGACCTGCTCCAGACGCTAACGGCCGACACTGCCTCTTATCGGCGCGGGCCCGCCGAGGCCACGCCCCCTCGCGCCTAGACTTGCGGTTGCCTAGGGTGTCGGTTGCTTTGGCAACGGCCGCCCTTTCCTGCTTGCCGCCACGTTGAAAATAAACAGGTGACCCAGTGTTGCTTAAGTTAGAACATGCGCCACTGGTGCCCAGACTCCTGTGGAGGGGTTGGCGTATGTGGGTTTTCCTGAAGAGAAACATGGCCGGTGGTTAAAAAAATTCGTTCCTTCTTCAATAGCAGCAAACATAACAGCAATGCACAGCAAAGTCGACTAACGAAGAATGGAATGACATGGTGGGCATCTCTTGCTGACAGGGAGACGAAAATTTAAGTGCCCTTTGCGTGTGTATATTAAAGCATTCCTGCCTAATCTGAAATAATGGTGAAACTAAACAATGCAATTGTATTTTTTACAAAAAAATGGATTTTAATTTCATTAAAACTTTTAAAAGTTGGATACTAACAGATAAAATTAGCCAGTTAATACAAATACAGCCAGTTGCAATAAATTAATCTCAGACTTCTCTGGGTACAGTTTTGTCAGCTCTAAAATAAGAGTTGCGTTGAATGATTTCCAAGTCTCTTTCCAGAAACACATTTGACAATCTGTGCCTTGGGACCACTGCACCCTAAGTATGTAAGACTGAGTTACAACTAGAGGGTGGATGAGCTGTTTCAAAGTGTGCTTCACAAGCGTTTACTAGGTGTTTAAAGCATAAAACTAAAACTGAGTAATGTGACCAATATATCACGAAAAAAATGTGGTTTCTGACCTGACTTAAAACAAAAAGAGCTATACTACTAAAAGCACTGCAGGGCTCATGAAATCAATCTTCAGTCAGTATTTATAGGAGAGAAAGATTGATTTGGGTTTCAGAGAAGATCTTGCCTGAATAAGGTGTTCATTATCAAACAAACAAAAAAGAAAAACCAACATGTTTCCCTCAATTCTGACTCATACGACCCTGTAGGATAAAATAGAACATTAAAAAAAAAAAGAACAAATCTGTTGCCGTTGAGTCAATTCTGACTCACAGTGACCCTATAGAACAGAGTAGAACTGTTCCATAGAGTTTCTAAGGAGCACCTGGTGGATATGAACTGCCAACCTTTGTGATTAGCAGCTGTAGCTCTTAACCACTACACCACCAGGGTTTCCAAGAGTAGAACATTAGTACTAGTTGAAACTTAATGTGGGCCCGACCAAAAACCAAAACTCTTGCCATCCAGTCGATTCCAACTCACAGAGACCCTATAGGACAGAGAAGAACTGCTTCATAGGGTTTCAAGGAGTGGCTGGTGGATTTGAACTGCCAACCTTTTGGTTAGCAGCCATAGTTCTTAACCCCTGTGCCATCAGGGCCCCTATGTGGGCCCAGCCCTTATCAAAATACAAAACTCATGCATTTACAAACTAAGTAAGGAAATGTCATTGCAATAAATGTTACTAAGACTCACTGTAATTGTGTACAGATCAAACCTGTAAGCTCAATAAAAACTATTTTACTGTGTTTCATACACAGGAATTCTGAAGTTCTTTTTGGTGCTGTTTTTGTATATGATGTGTTGCTGGTAAAAGTTCTTTAAAAATAGCATCCGATAAGCAGAAAGTATAATTAATAATTGTTGGATGTGATAATGGTGTTACGCCTGTATTTGTTAAAGTATTGCATACACATGTTGAAATATTTATGGATGAATTATATGATGTTTATGATTTGCTTTAAAATATCCCAGAAGTAAAATGCAGGAGGTGGAGACGGGATGGATGAAAAAAGAGTAGCATGATGTCAGTCAGTGTTGAAGCTAAATTCATTATGCTATACTATCAATTTTGTGCATGTTGGAAATTTTACAAAATAAAAAGTTAGAGCATCTGAGACACAAAAGAAACTCCATTACTGAATTAGTTCCTGTCTCTAACATATCTTGGCTTTCAGACTGAGGACAGTAGGAAGTAATATAAGAAGAATGTGTGGGAATGGGCTGCACAGTGGGGAGGCACAGACCTGGGTACCCTAATAAGGGAGTGGCTGCTGTCAGACCATGACCAGTATCTTGGCCCTGACTCCCTAGTCATTTGATTTGAGGCTAAAATTAGTTAACACCAAGTTTCTGTTTAATTTCAGATAATAACAGAACCTACTCCATAAAGTAGCTATGAAGATTAAATTGGTATAATGCCTAGCTCATGGCATGACTCAAAAAAGGTGATGTTTTATTATTTGGATGCAGCAGCATGCTGTAATGTTTCTCAGACTCTTTTTTTCCTACAGTCAAATTCACTTAGCAGGCTGCACAAAAGTCCTTCACAATCCAGCTTCAGTTCTTACCACCTATATTACACCATTCTACAATCCCTTATGCTCTGTAACACAAAGCTACTCTCCATTCCTCAAACACATCATGCACTTTTATGCCTCCTTGACTCTTCCATCTGCTTAGGACAGTCTTCTAGGTAACTGATGAATTGTTATGCAGCCTCTATAATATAGCTATATATCTATATATACACTATAGGGTCACTCTAAGTCAGAATCAACTCAATGGCAAGGGGGTAACGTGATACAGCTCACATCGTACTTCCGATAGCCTATGCAGAATTAGCCGCTATCTCTTCTGGGATCCAATTGCTCTTCCATATTTCTCCACCACAACCCCTCTAGTAGTGTAGTCTAATTAACCTGTAATTATCATCCTCTGTCCCCACTCCTCCAGCCCTTACTAGAATCTCTTCAAGGTTAAGGGCTTTGTCTTATTCATGTTTCTATCTTTTTCTACATAGCAGAATACTCATCTCATCACAGTGCTCTGTGTATGCAGCTTCTGACATGGCCCCCAAGATCCCTACCTCCTGGTGTTCAGGGATGTTGTGGGTTGAATTATATTGCCCCCAAAAATTATGTTGAAGTTAGTACCATGAATGTAACTTTACTTGCAAATAGGGTTTTTGCAGAAGTAATCTAGATAAAATGAGTTCATGCTGGATTAGGGTGGGCCCTAAATCCAATGACTAGTGTCCGTACAAGAAGGCCATGTAGAGACACAGACACACACAGCGGGAAGTTGGTCATATGAAGGCAGAAATTGGAGTGACGTAGCTACAAGCCAAAGAATACCAAGGATTGCCGACACCCCCAGAAGCTAAGAAGAGACAAGGAAGAATTCTTCTCTAGAATCTTCAGAGGGAGCATAGTCTTTCCAACACATTGCTTTCTGACATCTAGCCTCCAGAACTGTATGAAATAAATTTTTGTTGTTTTAAGCCCCCTGGTTTGTGGTAGTTTTTTATGTCACCCGTAGGAAACTAACACAAGGCCTTTGTGTAATCCCCTCCCTTTGGAAGCAGACTGGACCTAGTGGCTCACTTCTAAAGAACAGAATACAACTGAAGTGAAGGGATGTCAGACCATGATTAGACTAGAAAAAACTATGACTTCCATCTTGCTAGAACTCTCTCTTGCTCTCTAGCTTGCTCACTCTGAGATGCTCTATGACAAGGTCCGTGTTAGAAGGAACCAAAGAAGGACTTCAGACAACATCTTTTTTTATTATTATTATTGTGCTGTAGATGAAGGTTTACAAAGCAAATTAGTTTATCATTAAACAATACATATATCGTTTTGTAACATTGGTTGCCAACCCCATGACATGTCAACACTCTCCGCTTCTCCATCTTGGGTTCTTCATTATCAGCTCTCCTGTCCCCTCCTACCTTTTCATTCTTGTCCCTGCATTGGTGTGCCCATTCCAGACAACATCTTGTAAGGAACTAAGGCCTCAGTCCAGCAACTCAGAAAGAATGGTATCCTATTAACAAGCGAGTGAGCTAGAACTATATCCTTCCTCAGTAGTCTTGAGATGACTGAGCCTTGTGAATGACCCAGACTCATGGAATCTGAGACAATAAACCTTGTTTTTAGCCACTAAATTTTGTGGTAATTTGTTATGCAGCCATAGTTAACTACTTCAGTGCTCAATCCTTGTCATGTTGACCATATGGAATTATAAGACAATTGGTATCTTTTAATGGGGTGAAGAGCTTTTGTCCAGAGTAATTTCCAATGGCGGCACTGAAGGGCAGCTATGGTTACGTAAAAATATGTGGCTCCTAGTAGGAAAAGAAATTCTTTGAACTCTGATGAGGTAACACAATGGTGGCAGAGGGAGGAAGAGTGTGGTAGACACATATCCAGTCCCCTTCTCTTTCCCAACCCATAGAGGATTATGCTTCCACACCTCTTTGAAGTTAGGCACGTCCATGTAAATGGTCCTGGCCAATGGACTGGGAGCAGAAGGGGCAGGTATGTATCACAGCATTCAGTTGCTAGTGCAAGACACTCCAGTGTGCCCTTCTCTTGATGTAGAATTTTTGAAGAAATATCATGATCTAGGAATTTATAAGATCAGAGTAGCTTAAATTACTGAGCTGCTTCATGGAGAACAGTTGTCCTGGATGATCCCCTGGATCCTCAGTGGACTTCACATGAGTAAGAAATAGATTTTTGTTGTGATAAACTTGTTCTGGTTAGCTATCACTGCATAAACAACCATCCCAAAACTAATCTGTCACAGTTCCTGGAGTAGATGGGCTCAGCTGTAATTTGTAACAGCAGCCCTAAAAAGCTAATACAAAGCCCTTATATAATAATAAAGAAACAAAAATCCTTAAAACCAGTCCAATAAACAACACCATGATAAATAGTGAAAAAATTGAAGTTGTCAGAGGATTTCATTCTTCTTGTATCAATAATCAATGCTCATGGAAGCAGCAGTCAAGAACTCAAATAACTTCTTACATTAGGCAAATCTGCTGCAAAGGCCTCTTTAAAGTATTAAAAAGCAAAAGTCACTTTGGTGACTAAGGTGCACCTGACGCAAGCCATGGTCTTTTCAATTCTCATATGTGTGTGAAAGCTGGACAATGAAAAAGGAAGATAGAAGAATTGACATATTTGAATTGTGGTGTTGGTGCAGGATATAAAATATACAGTGGACTGCTAAAAGAACAAACA